TGCCTATTTCCATGTGACCATTCACCCGTCTCACAGGTGATTCCTCCGGTTCCTGGTAGGTTCCGATCACTACCAATACAAGGTCCTGCCATTTGGACTTTTGTCAGCTTCCAGGGTTTTTCTCCAAAACACTAGCAGTGGTAGCAGCCTTTCTGCATCAACGAGGGATCATCATTTTTTCCTATCTGGATGATTGTCTTCTCAAAGCTTCGTTTTTTGATGAAGCGTTACGTGCCATCAATATGACGAGAACTCTGTTCAACACTTTGGTTCTCATAATGAATATCCTGAAGTCGCCCCTCACACTACAGCAATCCATAGAATTTATAGGCGCCCGCCTCGATTTGACTACAGTATGTGCTTCTCTGCCCACCTCCAGGTTTCACGCTATTCAAGACCTCATAGAAATTCTTAGTACCAGTCCCTGGGTTTCCATACTTAGCTGCCTACACCTTCTGGGACATATGGCAGTGACAACGTATGTCGTAGTCAACGCAATATTACATTTCTGATGTCTTCAGCACTGGATATCCATGATGTATGCACCTCACAGACATGTCATGCCCAGAATGGTAGTGGTACCAGGTATGGTCAAACAATCCTTGACGTGGCGGACCATCTCCCACTATATGTTGGCAGGTATGCCTTTCCACCAGCCCCAACCAACCATGCCGATTATAACCGATGCATCTCTACTCGGCTGTGGGGCCCACATGCAAGACAAACAAGTTCAAGGTCATTGGTCTGCCCACGAATCTCTCTATCACATAAACTTTCTCTAGTTAAGAGCTGTTGCCAAAGCCTGCGCACACTTTCTCCCTCTTATCTGCGTCTGGGTGGTGCGTATCTTCATAGACAATGTGACAACAGCATATTTCATAAACAGACAGCGAGGAGCCCGTTTCCCGCTTCCTATGCATGGAATCCATATGCTTGTGGAACTGGTACAACCAACACAATGTGACAATCACAGTGGCCTACCTCCCTGGGAAGGACAATATCACAGCAGATTCCCTCAGCAGGCACTTTGCCCAGCATAAATGGGATCTACACCCAGAGGTATATAAAATCATGACTGGTGTGGAGAGGATAAATAAGGAAATGGTGTTAACTCCTTCACATAACACAAAAACTAGTTGGTCACCAAATGAAACTTATAGGCAGCAAGTTAGAACAAACAAAAAGCAATATTTCATCATACAGCACACAGTTAACCAATTGAACTGTTTGCCAGAAGATGTTCTGAAGAGTAAAGATAGAGTTCAAAAAAGAATTACATGAATTCATGGAGGATAGATCCATCAATGGCTATTTGCCAGGGCGGTTAGGGATGGTGACCTAGTCTCTGTTTGCCAGAAGCTGGGAATGGGTGACACTAGATGGATCACTTGATGATTACTTTGTGTTTTATGGTGTTATTGCTAATCCTTGGAAATGAATTTTCAAATTGATAATTTAACACTGGCTGCTGTAATGAATGATTTAGTTAACTTGCTTGTGTGGTTTTAATTTCTTTCTGGGTAGCCTGAAACAATACTCTCAAGTGACTATTAACTGTCTGATACTGCATAGTATCTTCAGGTGCTCACAGGTTTTTAGCTGTAATGGGATTACCATGTGTTTTGGCTTTACAAAAAGATAATCCTAATACAACTTTTTTAGATTTTTAAGCAACTATAGTATCTACTATTTTGACACTTCCTTACTATACTTTAAAATACAGTAGACTTCCGATAATCCGGCACCCTTGGGACCCACGTGGTGCCGGATTATCAGAAATGCCGGACTATCAGGAGGTACTCTGGCAGGGGCGGGTCTCGTCGGAGGGGAAGCAGGGGAGGGGGCGGGTGTGTGCCAAACCCTCCCTCCATCTGCAGGGAGGCAGAGCCTGCGAGCGGTGGAAGAGGAGAGGCGGTGACAGGCAGGCAGCCGCATTCAGGACGTTCTGGTCAGTTACAGTCACTCCGGCTGGATCCACAGCTGACACACAGTTAATGTAACTTTCCTCTCTACTGGGGGGGGCGGGGGCGGCAGTGGGAACAGGTAGATCCGCAGGTGACAGGCTGGGGCCGGAACTCACAAGAGATCATCTCCCCTCCCTGTCCCTGCTGCTTTTAGCAGTAGACCGATAGTCCAGGATCAAAAGATCGCGTGAGCTTGCGCAAAAAACCAGAGGCAGTAGTTGAACCCAGTGAACTGGAAGGCATTGAGTCAGTCTGCCATTAGCATTGTGACCCACTGGAGAGTGCTGTTTTGACTTTTGAATATTTTTGCCCATCAGAGTGTACATAGTGATGGAGTCAAAAGTGAATGAAGGTGCTAGTAGTAGTGGTAAGAAAACTTTAAAAAGGAAGCATATAACCCTGACACTGAACCAGAAATTA